GGGAGCTCCGCCGAAGGTCCCAGTGGCACAGTTCGCATGCGTCCCCGCCACTCATTTCGGCACACCCCTCACACGCTACGTGGCCCCATGGGAGCTCCGCCGAAGGTCCCAGTGGCACAGTTCGCATGCGTCCCCGCCACTCATTTCGCACACCCTCACACGTTTTTCGTGACCCATAGGAGCTCCGCCGAAGGTCCCAGTGGCACAGTGAGCATGCGTCCCCGCACTCATTCCGGCACACCCCTCACACGCTTCGTGGCCCCATAGGAGCTCCGCCGAAGGTCCCAGTGGCACAGTTCGCATGCGTCCCCGCCACTCATTTCGGCACACCCCTCACACGTTCCATGGCCTCATAGGAGCTCCGCCGAAGGTCCCAGTGGCACAATTCGCACGCGTCCCCGCCACTCATTTCGGCACACCCCTCACACGTTTCGTGGCCCCATCGGGAACTCCGCCGAAGGTCCCAGTGGCACAGTGAGCATGCGTCCCCGCCACTCATTTCGGCACACCCCTCACACGTTTCGTGGCCCCATAGGAGCTCCGCCGAAGGTCCCAGTGGCACAGTTCGCATGCGTCCCCGCCACTCATTTCGGCACACCCCTCACACGCTTCGTGGCCCCATGGGAGCTCCGCCGAAGGTCCCAGTGGCACAGTTCGCATGCGTCCCCACCACTCATTTCGGCACACCCCTAATACGTTTCGTGGCCCCATAGGAGCTCCGCCGAAGGTCCCAGTGGCACAGTTAGCATGCGTCCCCGCCACTCATTCCGGCACACCCCTCACACGTTAAGTGGCCACATAGGAGCTCCGCCGAAGGTCCCAGTGGCACAGCTCGCATGCGTTCCCGCCATTGATTTCGGCACACCCCTCACACGTTTCGTGGCCCCATAGGAGCTCCGCCGAAGGTCCCAGTGGCACAGTTCGCATGCGCCCCCGCCACTCATTTCGGCACACCCCTCACACGCTTCGTGGCCCCATAGGAGCTCCGCCGAAGGTCCCAGTGGCACAGTTCGCATGCGTCCCCGCCACTCATTTCGGCACACCCCTCACACGTTTCGTGGCCCCATCGGGAACTCCACCGAAGGTCCCCGTGGCGCAGTCCGCATGCGTCTCCCTCACCCAGTTGAGCGTTTCGTGGCCCCATATGGAGCCCCACCGAAGGTCCCCGTGGCGCAGTCCGCATTGTGTTGTTCGTTTTCGTTCGCGTTGTGTACCACGCCACTCATTTGGGTACACCCCTAGCACTGTTCGTTGCCTCATAGGGATCACCACCGAAAAAGTGAATTACAATTGCGGTACTCACACCTGCATATGGTTGGGTCCTTCGTCAGGCTATTTTTTGCAGAAGGCCCATTCGAAGGAGGCGGCGGCAAAGGCTGCGGCGGCCTCCCCTTTCAGCGGGCACGTGATAGCTCGTCACCCTCCGGTTTGGCCCCAACGGGATCGTTGATGAATTCCCTCATCATTCTTTAAGAGGCTTATGCCATTCCACTTGCCCCAAAGAAGGACGAAATTGACGGATGAGGCCTTTCGGTGGCCTCTTGTTGGCGTCCTGGGCGCGTCTCCGGGCTTCTGGGGAGTTTCGCGCGCGTCGATGGCGGTGTGGGGGTCCCCGTGGGGCGGAGGGCTCAGCAGGTCAGCTCGAGTCACCTTTCCTGAGCCTCTCTTGGGGCCCTGCCGCGGCCCTCTTGGTCCATCTTGCGCGCCTCTGCGGCGCTCTTGGGGCCCTCTTTTGGGGGCTGCCTGAGACTCTGGAGCCCTCTTGTGGACTTCCTGGGCTGTCATGGGCGTTGGGGCCCTCCATGGTAGTCCTGGTGGCGTACGCAGTCGCGTTGGGCATCTCGCACTGCGGGGTCGGGTTCCGTTCGTGTGATCCTTGGGTGGGACCCGGGGGAGGCGAGGGGGGGAATGGAGTTACGTAAAAGGTTCCGCACGCTTTGGCACTTCGCGTCCTCGGGTTCAGCTGCCGTCTGAGGTGTTCACAAGGCGTCGTATCGCCCCGTGTGCGTTGTGGAACGATGTGGGGACTTTTAGGGCGTCCTCGGGACGAGGAGGAGGAGGGGGGAGCGAGGACGAGGACGAGGAAGACGAGGATGACGAGGAGGAGGGGGAGGAGGAGGAGGAGGAGGAGGAGGAGGAGGAGGAGGAGGAAGAGGAGGTGAAGGAAAAGGAGGCGGAGACGCAGGAGCAGGAGGACCACGAGGACGACGAGGACGAAAACGAGGACGAACATGAAGACGAGGATGGGGAGCCAGGATCAGGTGGAGGAGAACGAGGATGAGGAGGAGGAGGAGGAGGAGGATGAGGTGGAGGAGGAGGAGGAAGCCACGCAGCAGGAAGAGAGGAGGACGAGGAACATGCGCAGGAGACGGCAGAAGAGGAGACGGATGAGAAAAGGATGGAGATGTAAAGGAGGAGGGACACGAGGATACGAAAATGACGCGCAATGTGAACATGAGGAGGGAAACGACACAGCGCGTCGGGCTGGTCCGAACTAGCGGGCCACGTTTGTTGGTTGTGGTGTGGGGTGGGAAGTTTGGGAAGGGAAGCAGTGAACACAATGGAGCAAACGTGTGACAATTCTTCAGGTGGTTGGGGCCCACCACCTTTGGCCTGTGGGACGGAGGCTTCTTGGATGTTTTCATTTGTTTGGGAAGCTTTTGAGGCGTCTATTGGAGGCATGTTGGAGTCTCTTGGGATGCCTCTCGGCAGCCTTGTGGAACGTTTGCCGAAGCATCGGGAGGCCTTTTGGATCCTTTGGAGGCCTCCTGGGGGCCTCTTGGAGGGCGCTTAGGGTCTCTTGTGTGCGCCAGGGGGGGCCTCTGGGGAGCTCTTGGGGCCATCTTGGCGGGAAAGGTTTTCAATATCAGTTCGTATTCCCTTTCTTGGGCTTCTCTTGGGGCTCTCTTGGGCCGTGTTGCAGCCCCAGGGGCCGTCTTGGGCTTCTCTTGGGGCTCTCTTGGGTTGTGTTGGCAGCTTTTTGGGCCGTCTTGGGGCCCTCCTGGGCCGTTTTCAGGCGGACGTAGGACGATCTTGGGAGCGTTTGGGCCGTCTTGGACGCTGTCGAGGCGCAAAAGGCGAGCGTGTTGAAAATATAGGGAATGAGACGATGTTCGTTTCTTGGGGCCCTCTCGGCGGTTCTCTGGGAGCACTGTTGGGCCGTCTTGGGCACGTCGTGGGCCGGCTCGAAGCCAGTTTGGATCGCCGTGGGGCTATCTGGGGCCATCGTGACTCTTTCTTGGACTGTCTTGGCGCTTCGTCTGGGCCCTCCTGGTCTGTCCTGAGGCGTCTTGGGCCTCTGGAGAGGCTCGGAGGGCCCCGGGGATGTGTCCAGGAGCTCGTCCCCCCACCCCCGACCCCCCCTCCTCCAACGGCATTTCGAACCCCAGTGGAGGGGGAAAGGGGGAGGGGGACCAACGGGGGTCGGCAGACCTCCCTCCTTCTCAATCTCTCATTCCCCGTTCCTCCCCCATCATCATCATCATCATCATCATCATCAGCATCATCATCATCATCATCATCATCATCATCAGCAGCAGCAGCAGCAGCAGCAGCATCAGCATCAGCATCAGCATCAGCATCATCAGCATCAGCATCAGCATCAGCATCAGCATCATCAGCGTCGTCAGCATCAGCATCAGCATCAGCATCAGCATCAGCAGCAGCCGCATCAGCATCAGCATCAGCATCAGCATCAGCATCAGCATCATCATCAGCATCATCAGCATCATCATCATCATCATCATCATCATCATCGTCATCTGCATCGACCTACGCATCTCCATACCTCCCCCATCGTTTTTTATCACAAATACTACTTCTGTATCCCCCCCTCTCACTCGTCTTTCCCACTCCGCATCCCCTTCCTCGACGGTTTCTGCCTCTTCACCGAGGAGGGCCCCGCGCGCGCCGCCTGCGCACGCCCCCCACCGCGGGGACGGGGACTCCTCCTCGGATTGAACCTGTTCTTTTCTGACGGACGTTGGTCCCTCCATGGTATTCCTCGGTGGTCCTGCGTTTGACGTCGACGACGACGCACTCAGCGAGTTGCGCTGGCTGCATGGCGCGCGCGTGCCTGCGCATCGCAGCGCCTCACCTGCTCGCGCCACACCCTCGGGGCCGTGCAAAAGCTGGACTGCGCGATATCGCGATCATTGGACGCCCATTGCGAGATGTGTGCTCCTGCTTGGATTGCAAATGATCCAAAATGACGGTGCCTCGCACACTGGACGAGTCAATTTGTTCAATAAAGAAGGAAGCCATCCACAAGTTTGGGCCAAGCAGTTCATGGCCAAGGACGTATCCGAGGATGCCCAGCACGAGCTCCTGGGGATATTCGGTCGTCGCTGGGACGCGACGTCGCTTACTTCCACCTGGCACCAATGGTTTCTCACAGTATGTGCGTTCTCGCAGCCGCTTGTCTTCCTGAGATCCACTGTCGTCGCGGCGATCGCTGAGGTAGGTTGCTGAGCTGCACTACAAAAAGCTTTTCCGAACTGTGGCGTGCACTTCGCTTGCTACGACGCGCGATCATGATACCGTCGAGGTCGTCACCCGCGCACCCGGCAACATTCGGCCGCGGAGCGGCCGCAACGCAGACGCCAAGACGATCGCTGGCGGCATGGCCCTCATGCCGAGGCCGTGCCGCCGAAGCCTCGCCTGAGCAGCGCGGTTTCGTGAAGCATCGGCGGTTTACCGACAGCTCCATGGAGCTAGATGCGCATGTGGCCCAGGCCTCCTACCGTCCGCCAGGCCGGCCACAGGCACTTCTACGGAGTATGGCACGGCTTTGGACCCCATGGCCCACAGCTTGGCTACTCAGACTCCTCACCCTCCGGGGTTGGCTCGGCGTCGCAATCGCCCAGCTCCTCTCCATGTGTGATATTGCAGTCACTGCCATCTCTATTGATGGGTATTGGGCCCCAGGCTTCATCACCACCATCATCATCAGCAGCAGCAGCATCCTCATCACCCATCATCATCATGATCATCACCATCATCACCGTTATCAGCATTGATATGTATACATACTCGGGCCTTACAACGGGACCCGCTCAGTTCCATTTTCTTCGCCCCTGGTACCGACCCGCTTGTACTAGGTTTCCGCGCTGGTGTTCTGTCCAAAGTATCTGCAGGATGTGCGCCGACGACGTCGACATCGTTTTATGGGGCATCCGCGCCCTGATTCCTGCCCACATGCTGTACGTCCTCGTGACGCGCGCTACGGGCCTTGCCGAAAAAACTCGAGAAACCCGCCATGACACCCACGGGATCGTGTTTCACGCCGGCAGTGGTGACCTCACCCGGGACTGAATGAACCTTCATATATTAGATCTGGCCGCTTACGCGCATAGAGTCTTTCCGAGTATTCTTGGACGTTGTTTAGGTCAAATGTTGGGGCCAAGCAGTGGGCAAAGCTTGCCAGCAAATACCAGCACAACCTGATCCAGTTCGGCGAAGCACACGAGCTGATGACCCAGAGCATCCTTGAGTACAACACTCATACCCAGACTGTCTCGGGCTACAAGCTCCCCATATTCGATGTTCGACCAGCAGGATTCCACCATTGCGAAGATATTCCGTTTCCACGTGGAGATGTACCCCTTTGGGCCGTATACCACATCGACGAATGTGGCCGTTGGTTTGTTTTTACCACGCGTTCCGCGCGGCATGTTGTCATCACCGATACACGGAAAATTGTGGACCAGCATTTGGGAGTCGTCTAGGCGACGAGTTCCTTCATTGTCGGTGAACGGAAAGCTCCATCTCTTGCGTTAAATTTCGAGCGTGCAGTTGCTATGCATCCGTCGTGGCCTCGGTGTGATCATCTTGGTACCGTGTTTCGTGACTGGCTTCGTCGGTCGCTTAACGCAGCGGCACCTGCAGCGTGCGGTGCAGACCGCGATTATCAAGGAATTGTGGGTGTTGGATTGGCCTCCGCAGGTTTTGCAGCGCTGGATGTGCTTCACCAGCGACGAAACCTTGACACTGGACGATGCGGCTGCTGACGTAGCGAGGCTTCGCGCTGTATCTCGTCCCCTTCGCAATCTTACTTTACAAACCTGGACGCGCGGATGGTTTACAACCCGCAGAATGCACGAACTTACCCGGCACGCCTGCTAGGTAAATCTGTGGCCTCCCAGATGCGGACCACAAGCATTATTTCGAGTGCGACGGCTTCTGGGAACTCTTCGAAAGCTGGCCGCGTCCGACCCCAGTGTCGGCTCTCGAGCGGATATGGCTGTGTCCTGCGGTCGGATTCTACCAGGCCGATGCCGCCCACACGCTCAGCCGCTTCGGATAAGAATGTATGTCCTGAGGGGCGGGCGCTCGAATGATGTGGTGCACAGCGCCCGCCGTCTGACCGCGGCCTCGCGGCGGCGCCGTGTTGCCGCCGCCCCGTCTGCAAGGAATATGATGCGCCTCTGCTGATCCGTGACCCCACTCCTGCGTCTTTCCCTTCCTGTTGACTTCGCTTCCTTCTCTCACTCAGATCCCATTTGTCTGTTCTCCTTGTTCCTGATTTTATGTTTCCCACATCCTCCGACTTCCCCATCCTCCCCATCCGCATCACCCCCCCGCCCTCCGTCCTACTCACACATCGCCCTTCGACAGGCAGAAGCGCGCGGCCTTCCTCCGGACGCTGGAGTCCAGCGCGCCCTCCGCCCAACGTGGGAACGCAGAAGAGTCACCCGATTGCAGCGATCACTATGCCCCTCGTCGCCGCCACCACCACTGCCGACGTCGAACGCGTCTTCTTCCTCGCCATCCACCTCCTTGTTTTCTTTATCGACGTCGTGTTGCTTCTGCCGCTATGTGTGCACGGTATCAGTGTGGAGCGCGTCATCCTCGCCATCCTTGTCTAATCGCCCTCAGCATTGTAATCGTCCTGTCCCTCCGCTTCTTCTGCCACCTCCTCCTCCTCCACCTCCTCCTCCTCCTCCTTCTCCTCTTCGTCCTGCTCCTCCTGCTGTGTTGTATGACGCCTGCCAAAAAAGCTTGCGAACGGATGCTCGCCCACGAAAGGCCACGTTGGTTCACACTTTGTTCCCTTCAATGCGCAAAGTACTTCGCGGGCCCTTCCGGGAACCCTCGAAGCAAGCATCGAGATTCTTTGATCCGTGAAGGCCCCTGGGCCCAAACGTCGGCGATAAAGTTTGGTGTGGAATAAAACGACGATTGGATCTCAGAATTCGTCCTCGTCGTCGTCGTCATCGTCGTCTTCGTCGTTGTCGTTGTCGCCGTCGTCGTTGTCGTTGTCGTCATCGTCAGATTCTGATATACTTAGGGTATATATACGGTGTATATGCATAAGAGTATACAAATCTGCAGATCATATGTAACAACTACACACACCATGCCAACAAGCCACACATGGCCTACTGTTTCCGCGTGCTGGCCTGAGACGGTTTGGTTTTGTACGCTTTTGCGTTGGCCCATCGCTCTCTCTCTTTCTCTCTGTCTCTCTCTCTCTCTCTCTCTCTCGGCAAGCCTGCAGCTTCGCCCGCATCCAAGCCACGAGATCCTGAAGCCCAAGAGGTCTCTAGAAATCCCTAGAGGCAAACAAAAACAAAACAGGCAGCGCAAGTGCAGAGTGAGGGGGGCGAACAGTCATTCACTGTCCCTGGGCGCGTGGCTGAAGTGTGGTTCCGCAATGCGGATTGTTGTTGTTGAGATCTCATTTCTCAAGAACAATCATTGTTGACCCCCCTCGTGACCATGTAGTATTTGCAAAGTGTTCCTCCCGGGGCTCGCACCCTGCTTTTGTCAGGGAAAACCTGTGGTCACCGAATTGCGCCCTGGGCCCCAGGTTTGCAACAACAACAGCAGCAGCAACAACAACGAAAACGGTTCCCGCCGGATAATTCCTCACAGTGTATTTCGAGTTCGCGCTCTCTCGCAGGATTCCCTCATAATGTATCCAAGAATCGCGATCTCGCTTGATTGCCGCTTCCACTGCATTGCGGCGCCGTGCCCCCTGGACTCAGGAATCACGCTCTCGCTTTGGATATCCTCACGGTTTACTTGTGAGTCGCGTTATCGCTCGAATTGCCAGTCATGATGTGTTGACGCTTTCGCGACCCGCCCGCTCGACCTGGTCGTCTGGGCCCTCCCGCCAGACTAGCCCCTTAGGGTCCGCCCGCCCGACAAACTTTGTTTTATGTTTGCTCCAAAATCCGCCTGTAGGAGGACATGCCTGACCTAACTGTGGGGCCACGAAACGCGCGGTGGGGTGCCGGAGTGGGCCCGGGGGGCGCACGCGGGCCCTGCCTTTTGGGGCCGTCGGTGGAAGCCCCTGTGGGGCCACGAAACGCGTGAGCGGGGGTGCCGAAGTCGGCTGGGGACGCACTCAGGCCCTGCCACTGTGGTTAAGTCTGGCGTGTCCCTCTACAGGAGGAATTTTCAAAAATAGTAAAAACATAGTCTGGGGACGATTTTCCGACTATTCTTGGTTATCGTTGAACATGTCTTGCGTATTTTTTATTTCTCCCCCAAACCCCGCCTGTAGGGGGACACGCCCGACCTAACATTGGGGCCTTGTGTGAAGCTCCCTCTGGAGCCACGAACCATGTAAGGGGTGTGGCATAGTTGGTTTGGCGACCGCATGCGACCCTCCTCGGAGAGCTTCGGTGAAGTTCCCGATGGGGCCACGAGGCGAGTGAAGAGGGGGTGGGGCCGAACGGGGTGCGGGTACGTCATGCAGACCCTGCCGCTGGGGCCTTCGTTGGAGCTCCCTACGGGGACGCGAAGCGTGTGAGAAGTGTGCCGAATCGGGTGCAAGCACGCCATGCGGACTGTGCCGCTGGGGCTTTCGGTGGAGCTCTCTATGGGGCCATGAAACGTGTGCGTGGTGTGCCGAATCGGGCGCGGTTGCGCCACGTGGATTGTGCCATTGGGGCTTTGGGTGGAGCTCCTCATGGGCCACGAAACGTGTGAGTTTTGCGCCGAATCGGGCGCGGCTGCGCCATGCGGACTGTGCCATTGGAGCCTTAAGTGGAGCTCCTTATATGGCCACGAAACGTGCAAGCGGTGTGCCGAATCGGACGCTGGTGCGCCATGCGGACTGTGCCGCTGGGTCTTGCGGTGGAGCTTCCTATTGGGCCACGAGACGTGTGAGGGGTGTGCCGAATGATGGCGATGGTGATGATGATGATGATGATGATGATGATGATGATGATGATGGTGATGATGATGATGATGATGGTGATGGTGATGCTGATGATGATGGTGACGATGAAGCTGATGCTGATGCTGATGCTGATGCTGATGCTGATGCTGATGCTGATGCTGATGCTGATGCTGATGATGCTGCTACTGATGATGATGATGATGATGATGATGATGATGATGATGATGATGATGATGATGATGATGATGATGATGATGGCGATGGTGATGGTGATGGTGGTGGTGATGGTGATGGGAATCATGGTGATGATACTGATTATGATGATGATGGTGATGTTGATGATGATGATGATGATGATGATGATGATGATGATGACGATGGTGGTGATGGTTATGTTGGTGATGGTGGTGGTGGTATGACAATGGCGATAGTGATTATGGCACCACGTGGTTATGGCACCACGTGGCAATGACAATGGTGGTGGACTACGGCACCACGTGTGTTGAGCAAATCTGGCTGGGTTTGTTTCTCAGATGCGCCGACACCTACTCAAGAGCGACCAAGCTGACGGCGGCCGTGGAGATGGCGTTGGTGGCCTTGTGCACCGACATGGATACCAGACTGCACCCTCGAGTTGACCACGCACTTCCTCGAGAGGGCCGAGTGGATCGAGATTAATGTACTATCAGGTGGAGCTACTCCAGAGTTAGGGTGCTCCACATACACCATCTTATTCTCCTCGATAGTGATTATGATGATTATGACGATGATGAGGTTGGTGTTGGTGGTGACGTTGATGGTGATGATGGTGCTGATGATGCGGGTGTGGTGACGACTGCGATCATGCAGGTGGTGGTTATGATGATATTGAAAGTGATGTCGGTGCTGGTGTTAATGATGAGGATAAGATGATGAGGGTGATGATGATGATGATGATGAGGATGATACGGTGGTGACGATGATGACGATCATGATGGTGAGTAGCTGGGTGATGATGATGATGGTGATGGGGGTGATGATGGTGTTGATGGTGGCGATGGTCATGGTGGTGATGGTGTTGATTGTGATGGTGATGGTGATAGTGGTGGTGATGATGATGGTGCTAATGATGATGATGATGATGATGATGATGATGATGATGATGATGATGATGATGATGATGATGATGATGGTGAAGACATGTGGGGGATTGCGTAAGCAAGGAGAGAAGCAAAGGAAGAGGGCGAGGAAGTGAGGTGGAGCGCGGCGCTGCGGAGTGGGAATACACAAGCGACACGCGTGCCCCAGCTCTTGCATGATGAGGTAGCGAGGGGGTTGGAGCACCCGCCAGGGTTAGGCCAGGGGAAGGTGGACGAACGACGACCTCGACGAAAATGAAGGACTCCGAGCTCCAAAACACAACTGCGAAAGAGAATGGAGGGCTCTACGGGTGTCATGACGGACCAGGCACCCACACATCGTGTTATGTGCATCTGGGAAAAATGGAATTGCGGGAATTGGAGGAGGAGATGGCGGATGAGCCGGATAAAAAGCGAAACAGAGGAGGAGGTGGAGGAGAAGGAGGACGAGGACGAACAGCAGCAGCAGGAGCTGGATAGAGTAGAAGGAGCGGGAGGGGCAGGAGGACCAGGGGAAGGTGGAGGGTGGGAAAGGGTGGGGGTGACAACGAGGAGGAAGGAACGTATTCAGAAAAGTTGCCCGCTGGGGCGTGCAAATCTGAGCGACGGAAACAAAGCGCAGATCCCAAAATGGGGCCCATGCTGCAGCGTCGGCACAGAGAAGGACCGAGTCGAACCTCAAAAAAGGATGTGGAGACTTGGAAATCCGCTGTTAAAAAGTACGCGGAGGGTGGGCGGGCAACGCCCTCGGGGCAGGGGGGCGAAGGAGGGTAGTAGTCAGATTGGGTAATTCTCTACGGTGCAATTGCGGCGGAAGGGGGGCAGGGACAGGGAGGGGGGGGGGGGGGGGGGGGGGGGGGGCGACGACGAACGACCACGAACAAACGAAAATAAAAAGTCGGGGGGCACTGGTTGTGGCCTGGGCCCCGGGGGGTGCCAGGGGCAGGGGCGGGGGAGCGAGCGACCACGAGCGAACCCGCGGACGAAAATTAAAGAATCGTAGGGGCACTGGGGGAGGCCTGGGCCAGAGGGAGGGCGGTTGGGATGCAGGGCGGGAGGGCGTGGCCCTGGACCAGGGGCGAGCGGGCCACTATTCGAGGAAGGGCGGGCCCGGGGGCAGGGAGCGGGTTGGGCGCAGGGCAGGCTGGCGTGGCCCCGGACTGGGGCCTGATGGGGGGGCATGCGGAACAGGCCGGGCCACGGCTTGAGGGGGGCAGTCCAGGAACAGCGGGAGAGGGGGGAGGGTGGGAAAGGGGAGGGGGAAGGGGGGGGGGGGCGGGGCGCCGCCGGGCGAGGACGCGGGACCACGAGCGAACGAATTCAAATTGATGGTCGGAGAGGGGGCACGCGGGCAAGCCAGGGGCAAAGGGGGAGGGGTCAGGGAGCAGGTGGGCGTGCCCCTGGATTGCGGGGAAGAGGGCCAGCGGGGACGGGGGGGGGTGCACGGCCTGGGGGCGGAGGAGGTCAGAGGGCTTGGGCGGGGTGGGCGAGGGGCCAGAGGGAGGGGGTTGGGGACGGAGGACGCCCAGACCCCCTCGAGTCGTGAAAAAAAGTCACGACGGGAGGTTTTTCGCCATGTCTGGCCCCTGGGGGCCCTTGCTGCGCCTCGGAGCCGTCAAAAGAGGATCCGGGATGACAAACAGGTCCCATGGACTGGGTCCAGACTTTTTTGGGGGTCGCGGCATGAAAAAAGTCGTGCCGTCGGGGTCCTTGGGTAGGTGGGCGAGGCCCTGGACCAAGGGGGGAGAGATCCGCGGCCTGAGGGGGGGCAGGCAAGGGGCCCAGGGCGGGGGGGCGAGGGAGGGGTCGAGGACGCGCGACCACGAACGAGGGAGCAAACGAAAATAGCAGCGTACGAGCTCTAGAGCACAGCGGTGCAAGAGAGTAGATAGAAAAAAACGGCGCCAGGGTGCGCAAGCGCGTCATCATTGCATGACAATCCACAAAAAGGTTACAGGGCACCGTTGTCGTTCAAAACAGCAAAACGGACAAACAAACAAACAAACAAACAAACAAACAAGCAAGCAAGCAAGCAACCAAACAAGCAGGCAAGCCAGCAGCCAGACACAAACAAACAGACAAACCACAAACCGAACCAGAACATCACAAACCAAAAAAACAAACAACAATTAAACAAACAAGCAACGTATGCATAAAGCACGTAAACAGACACACAAACAAACAAACAAACAAACAAACAAACAAACAAACAAACAAACACACAAACACCACAAACCAAACAAAAACAATCAATAACTAAACAAGCAAACAAACAACGTATACATTATGCACATAAACAGACAAACGAACGAACGAACAAACAAACAAACACACAAACAAACAAACAAGCAAGCAAACAAACAAGCAAGCAAACAAACAAACAAACAAACAAGCAAACAAACAACACAATAAAACAACACACAGCAAACAAAACAATACAAAACAAACACAACACGCCAAGAGCCGAGCAGACGAAGAACACAGCGCGCCGAGGTGCGACGTCCCGCGAATGCGCCCCTGAGCGGGGGCGGCCGGCGGGGACGCCCGGGCGCGTGCCCGGAGCGGGCGCGGAGCCCCCCGCGGCGGGCTCGGCCCCCCCGGGCGTGCCCTGCGCGGCTCGCGCGCGCGCCGAGGCTCCCGGCTGCCCCGCGCGGCCGATGGGGCGCCGAGCCTGCTCGGGCTCGTCCTTCGCTGTCGCTGCTCCTCCAGCTCGTCCTTCGCTGTCGCTCCTCCTCCTCCTCCTCCTCCTCCTCCTCCTCCTCCTCCTCCTCCTCCTCCTCCCTCCTCCCTCCCTCCTCCTCCTCCTCCTCTCCTCCTCCTCCTCCTCCTCCTCCTCCTCCCTCCTCCTCCCCTCCTCCCTCCTCCTCCTCCTCCTCCTCCTCCTCCTCCTCCTCCTCCTCCTCCTTCCTCCTCCTCCTCCTCCTCCTCCTCCTCCTCCTCCCTCCTCCTCCTCCTCCTCCCTGCCCTCCTCTCTTCCTCTCATCCTCCTCCTCCTCCTCCTCCTCCTCCCTCCTCCTCCTCCTCCTCCTCCTCCTCCTCCTCCTCCTCCTCTCTCTCCTCCTCCTCCCTCCTCCTCCCTGCCCCTCCTCCTCTTCCTCATCCTTATCCTCCTCCTCCTCCCCTCCTTCCTCCTCCTCCTCCTCCTCCTCTCCTCCTCCTCCTCTCCTCCTCCTCCTCATCCTCCTCATTCTCATCCTCATCCTCATCCTCATCTCCATCCTCATCCTCATCCTCATCCTCATCCTCATCCTCATCCTCATCCTCATCCTCCCTCCCTCCTCCCTCCCTCCCTCCCCCTCCCTCCCTCCCTCCCTCCCTCCCTCCTCCTCCTCCTCCTCCTCCTCCTCCTCCTCCTCCTCCTCCTCCTCCTCCTCCCTACACGTGCAGGAGCAGCCAGAGACGCGCTGCAACAGGGGACCCAGACCCCCTCGCGCTGCGAAAGAATTCATCACGACGGGGAGGTTCGTCGCTCTTTTCGGCCTCCGGGGGCCCTTGCCGGGCTTCGGGCCTCGGGGCCCTTGCCAGGCCTCGGGGGCGGCCAAGAGGGGGGCGATGACTGGGAGAGGGGGGGATGTCATGGCGGGGGCCAGGATATCTCCCCAGATTTCATGGCGCCTCTTCTTACTTCGTCACGTCACCAGCCCCCCCCCCCTGGGCCGCGCACACGCCGCCGGCCACCATGATTTGCGTCCCCCCCCTCTAGAAGGACCCCCTCTTGGCCCCCGACTTGCGAAAGAAAAACACGACGGGAGGTTTGTCGCTCTGTTCGGCCTGCGGGGGCCCTTGCCGGCCAAGGGGCCGTCCAAAAACGGCTCGGGACGAGGAGCCGGTCCTGGGGAGCGGGTCCAGACCTTCGGGGGTCGCGTGAGACAAAAGTCATGACGTCGGGGGTCTGGGAAGGTTGCTCCGAGATGGGGAACACAAGCATGGAAAAGTAAAGAATACAAAGGGTTTTGGAGCTGGCTGGGGTTCTGCGGTGTCCCAGTAACCTGGCTCTGGCGAGCCGGGGCGGGGGAAGAGGTTCGAGGCGCTGGGTTCTGCACGTTTCTGTGTCCCCCGACCTCTCGATGCCGTTTTCGGGCCCCGGGATAGGGACCAGATCCAGGGTGAAGAACTATGCCACATGGACTCCTGGATGGGTCTGGGGACCGATGTTGAGCGGATTGGGTTCCCGCCCCCCCTCCTGACCGACTCTCTGGGGCCCCAACCAATTCAGACCCCCTGGCCAATTCCAACCTCACCTGCTGGTTTCGCCCTCGCTCGGCGACTACAAAGGGTGTGGCAACGCTGGGGTGTGGTTTGCGACCTGCCTCGTCCGGGGCTCGGTGGGCGCCACGATGCCCTCGTCGGACCTCCTCGGAGCGCGGCGGGGATCTCTGTCGAGGTCCTCGCCCGCCCACCACGTTGCGAGGTGCAAACCGTGCCGTTTGCAAGCAACACCCTTCGGAGTCACCGATTCGCCCCCCAGCTTCCCCAGACCTCTTCCCGGGTCGGACGTGGGCGAGGTTTTCGAACGAATCCGTACGCTCCCGGCGGTTTCCCAGCCTCGGCATACGTTCCAGCAGCTGCAGCTCACCGGGAGCGTCCTGCGGGCTGCCCGAATCGACACGGACGGCCGCGGGCGACTCGCTGTGGCCCGAAAACGAGACGACGGGGAACGATCGTGTCGGCAGAAGGGGGGAGCGAGATCCTCCTCCGGGTCCTCCTCCTCCCTCTCCTCCTCCTCCTCCTCCTCCTCCTCCTCCTCCACCACCGCCTCCTCCTCCCCCCCACCTTTTCCTCCTCCTCCTGCTGCTTCCTCCTCCTCCTCCTCCTCCTCCTTCCTCCTCCTCCTCCATCCTCTTCTCCTCCTCCTCCTCCCCCCTCCTCCCCCCCTCCTCCTCCTCCTCCCTCTCCTCCTCCCCCCCACATTTTCCTCCCTCCTCTTCCTCCTCCTCTCCTCCTCCCCCTCCTCTCCTCTCTCCTTATCCTCCTCCTCTCCTCCTCCTCCTCCTCCTCCTCCTCCTCCTCCTCCTCCCTCTCCTCCTCCTCCTCCTCCTCCTCCTCCTCCTCCTCCTCCTCCTCCTCCTCCTCCTCCTCTCGGTCGGTCGGTCGGTCGGCCATAAGGGAATGAGTCTGAATCCCAAACGAAGCTAGAAGAGAGCAGCGATGGCAGAGAGAAAAGCGGCGAGGCAGCGATCGCGGCAGCGGGCAGGCCTCTCGGGTGAAACTAAAGTCCCCCCCCCCATATGTCCAAAGCTCGATCCCACCACCATATCAAGGCCACTTTAAATGCCCCGATCCTGACGTGGGCAGGTAGAACATCCCAGGCGTACGGCAGCTTAGTGAGTAACGCCACTGGGGGAGGGCGCCACCAACATGTAGTCAGGGACGGGCTGGCCATTCATCAGGTTACTGATCCCCCCACTGAGGATCGAAAAAGATACCTTCACCTGATTACTGCGAGTTAGAGTGCCGCGCACACCGCCAGCGAAACGTGACAAACCTGGACAGCGAGTTAAGGTGCCGCGCACACCCCAGGCGTCAAAAAACAGTCAAACACATACCTTCCCCGAGGGTACTGCGAGAGTTAGCGGTGCCGCGCACACCATGTGCTTGTCAGGAGGGAGATGGTGGTGTCACTTGGGCGAAATCACGACCACGCCTGAAATCATAGAAGGGATCCAGGGGCACAAAGAAGGGCTCAAACTCCTCCCCGAGGTCCCAGGGCGGCGGTCCAGGATCAGGCCCGAACTGGTCCTGGATAGCGACGAAAACACTCATGGCCATCAAACGGCACATCTCCGAAGGATATGTTTTGGCCCGCGCAGTCTGCCAAGCCCCAGAAAAATCTCGGCCCTGAAGGACCTGGACGTGCGCATTGTGTTGGCATCTCCCCTGGTGCGGCAGCTCATTAATCATCTGATTGAGCCTGGGGACATGAACACCCATCAAGGCCGTGGGTTTCTTCGCACAAAGCCCAAACATGCACTGGTCAATCCTGTGTAGTTTGACCCCCATCTGTCGGGCCAGCTTTGAAAGGATAGGGAGATGCCAACTGCTGGGAACATTAGGTCTTGCCAACTGCTGGGAACATTAGGTCGATGCTCGGCCGGGGCGGGGTGCTCCATGATCGCTGGTAGCCCAAGCTTCCAAGCGGAAATCAGAAATTCAATGGTGGTTCTTAGCAAGGCATTCCCCACCCCGACCTGCTCTCGTTCCTTGGGAGCGATGTACTTTAACCCCCAGAGTTCACTAGGCGCCCTCAGTGGCCGAGGGTGAGGCCCAACGGCTTCGGGGGGTACAGGGTTATGGCGGGCAGCACTCCAAGTCTCACAGGGGGGGGCCTGCGATAACCCCAGCAACCCACCCCTGCTCCATAAGACGTAACCAATAAGCAACCGTGGAAACATCACTTAAATCGCCATACTTCGGACTGTTAGCTATATCAATAGAGAGCACAACAACCGGGGTGGGATACTGAGCAACAAGTCTCTCAATCCAATCCTGCACGTCGTCAGTACGCCGTTGGCCCGAGAAGAGGTGGAGAAGAAAGCGGAAAGGGCGAGAAGGGGGCGGAGCAGGAGAGAAGGCAGGAAGGACAGGAGGAGGCGGGGGGGGGGCCACGGGCTCGACCACGAGGGGTTCTTCCTCCAAGACACGGACCCCTCTGACTGGTCCAATCATGCGAACCCTGGGCAAATGGGCGAAATCATCCGTCAACCCCTTGGCCCTGTTGGCCTGCTGCTCACAACGCCGGGTAGCCCGAGCCTCATCGACCTCATCCTGAGTGGGGCGCACACCACAGGCCACAAGGCCTCGGAAGCAACTTTTGGACCTAGCTAGGTGTTTATACAACCTCCCATTAGAACGGTAGTCCCACCCACAAATAGAGCAGCAGGTGCCAACGGCCATCATAGCTGGGGATGTGGGGATGGGGTGCTGCTTTCCCCTGTGAGCGCGCAATGCGCGCTCTGACTTGAACAGCTGGCCGCACTCGTAGCACATGTAGGATGTCACCACGTCCACAGCGTCCACGTCCATGGGCGTGCCTGCTAACGCCTCGTGGACCCTGATGTCCCACAGGTGGAGCAGGTGTCGGTCACTCCACCACTCTCTCGCTCTACGGATGACTGTTTTGATTGTGGCCCGAAAACGCTGGGGGTCCATCTGAAGTGCAGCTAGCCACTCGTCGAGCCCCCCCGTCCCAGGGACCGAATCAGGATCCATGAAAGAAACTAACCAATCGAAACTCGCGGCCAAAGCCGAGACCCAGCTTCTCCGATGCAGGAGGGAAACGTCAAGAAGGGTCAGCAAGCATCGCGGCGCGAACTTGAACATCCTAACTAGGAAACGCAGCCTGGAGACATGAACAACGGCATCCCAGGGAAGTCGATCCGCACGAGCCAAAACATCCCAATACGACAGATGGTGCTCGGGCGAGTTGCTGGCAGGAAGTCCAAGCGCGCAGCGATGCAAGAACTCGTGGCAGCTCCGCACTCTAGATTGAACGGCCTGTGGCATGGGGCGCCATAAACATGAGGCAAAAAGCATCTGCTGGATCCGAAGGCTTCCGTGTACAAGATTTTGGCACGGAGAGGAAGGGAGGGGCGGGGAGCGACGGTGGCCTTGATGGGCCTGACAGCGGCCCTGGCAGACATGGAACGCGCAGAAATCTCCAGCCCTTCGGATCCAGTGTCAGCGAGAACTACCCCCAGGCACTTGCGTGAACGCACGACGGCGACTTTTACTTTCCACTGAGGGGAAGCTAAGTAGGGCTCCGCCTGATCGAAAACCTCCCGATGGGCCGCCTGTGAGCCACGCCCCCGAAATCTCAACATAATCTTGGTCTTGTTGGGGTTTAAGGACAGCCCGTGACGAGCACAAACCGCGAAAACCATATCGATGAGTTCCCCTAACATCTGCAAGAGTTCTGCTGGATCAGGGGAGGCCACGGAGGGGGTGAGGTCGTCAACGAAAGAGACTGAAGCGCACACTTCATCGCGTTCGACCGCCGAGGAGAATACACGCACAGAGGGGGTGGGAAGCCACCGAATCTCTCTCATTTCCATCTCGGCTTCTATCTCCTCTTGAACGCTAGCGAAAGCAATATTAAACACGTCTGTCGCCATCACGGTGCCAGGACGGCACCCTGTGCGGGGAATGACGTATCCATCCGCTCCTCCCACGGCCCAGAAGGCCCCCCTTTGAGCCTCCCGTAGTAGGGCGACTAGATGGGGCTTTTCAATAGTCTGATCAAAGATGGGGCCTGTGATCAGCTGAGCACGAACGCCCGCTGCTAATATTGGAGGCACTGGGAGCTCTTCCAAGACTTCACTGAGCATCTCCCCCTCACCTGGTAAATCATACACCAGCTGCCGGATAGTGGAGTAGAAGGCAGCCGTAAGATCACAAAACAGGGACCCACATGAAACCCCCCGCGCTTCAGAGGCCGCCCAGAAGGCCTTGACAAAATGCGCAGCAGTGTCGCACGATCTACCAGGTAACCCCCCACATTGCTGGGCCAACAGCGCAGCATACAAATAGTCCAGGGAAAGGCACCTGAGGTGTCGGTGATGTATCTTACTAATCGTGTTAGTCATCAAAATGCTGCGCTGGTTGGCGGCCAAGGCAATCAAGCCTTTCCCCTTGAAAAATGTGCCAACACGCCCGTCTTTGAAGGCCAGGGGTTCCCTAGTGGTCATAGTGACCTTGGTGAGGAGGGGGTGGATGATTTCCACCAGTTCGAGGGGGGCAAGCTTGAGCAGGTCGGGGGGAAAGCCGTCAGGACCAGGGGCCCTCCCTCCTTGGATACCCCTCATCAACGCTAGCAATCCAACCTTCGAGACAAATAGCTCCAGGTCCCGAGGAGCCTCATCTGGAAGGAGTGGGATCATATCATTATAGTGTCTTTGTATCCCTTCAGCATCCTCGAACTTGCCTCTCTCAACTTTGGCAAAGTGCTGCTGAAGGTTGTTGGCCACGTCTGACTCCGTGCACAGCGCCGTGCCGTCTTCAGTGGTCGAGTAGGGAAAGGTGGTGGGGATCTTGGGTGGGCGACCTCCAAACTGCATCAAAACCTTGGTTTTTGACCACTCCGAGCGGGGAAGCCCGAAATCCCTTGCTTCGGCAATCGTGTCAGCCTGGGCCTCAAGGTGATTGCACCTGTCTTGCTCCAATGCCTTGGCCACGAGCTGTTCGGTGTCAATCAGAAAACGCTGAAGCCCGAACACTACAGCGTAGCAATTAAGCCTGCCAGAGGCCCATCCTCGGAACACCTGAGCCATAAGATCGTAGTGAGGCCTCCAGAATTGCGCTCCCTCTTGCATAGCAAGCCCCAGGATATCCCCCGATAACCATCTGCCGCAAAAGTGGGAAAGCGCGTCACCGTACAGAGGCCCTTGTTGGTCCAGAAAAGGGGCAACTTTTTTCAAGGCTCTGGTGGCCCCTCGACGGGCGGTGATAAGATCAACCGAAGCCTGAGAGACATACGGCTGCCTAGGTCGGCGAGGGGCAACCCCGAAGGCCTTCGATGCTGCCCTCATGACCCCTGTAGACAAGCATACGTGATGCTCTGAGACAGGGACCTGCCAGGGGACTACAGAGATCCCTCGAAGCTCTTGCTTGAAAACCTCGAGCTTCAGAGGGTCCTTATAAGCCTCTCGGTCAAGCTTCTTTCCTGACGATATTTGGCGTACCTGAACTGCCTGCCAAGCAAACGTAGCAATCACTGGCTGGTGGTCAACATGTGTCGTAATCTTATCAATGTCGTGAAACGCGTCGGATGTGAGGGCGTGGTTGGCAAGCCATGTCTTCGCTGAGACATAGTCAATCCGATGCCTCAACCCTTGTGGCGACTGCCACGTCCAGTCGTCTGGACTGCCAAGCCATGCGTTGACAGCTCTATGCTCTGAGGCGAGCAGGAAGGTGTGTAAATGCTCTCCCCCTTCATCCTGTTTCTGAGCGAAGCCGGCGCTCCCGACGGCGTCCGATGGCAGGTTTCCCACCCTGCCATTGGCATCCAGGAAACACAAATCGGTGCCCCACTTGTCATGCAGCCCCTGGATCGAGTCCCAAAATGCAGCCCTCTCAGAAGCCCCAGCGCCTGAGTGAGGAGCGTGCCCGACCAGCAGATTGCATACTAACCCAGGAGCACTCAAGGCAACCAGGAGCCATCGGGGGCTGGCGGAAATAACACGAAAGTGCCTTCTCTCAAGGAACAGGGGCTTCCCCTTGCAAGTGCCGTACGAAATCCTAGTATTAGCCCACAGCTCACACCCAAGCTCGTGAGACGCGTGCCCCGAAGAAAGCACAAAGTACGCACCAGAGGAGTAAACGCCCTGTGGGTTTCTGGCCTCCTGGACCCCAGCCAGTAAAACACCCTCCTGGTCAAACTGGGTTTTGATAGCCAAATTGCGAGCGAAGCGGAGCTTGCCCTTCCTTCCCCTTCTCTTGGCAACAGCTGCGCTCTTGGCATTGAAGGAGGCCACTTTGATGCTCAAAGCGTGGGAGCTTTTGGAGGACTTGAGCGGGGGCCGATGTCCCAGGTCGTCAGAAGCCTCAGACGCCACGGGGGTCGCACAAAAACCTTGAACCGAAGGAGTGGGGTACGCCTGGGCCAACCCCTGAGCCGGGCGCTCCAGCCACTCCCATTCGCGAGCAGGCCCATGCTTAGTGGCCTCGGCCCAAGTGGGGGAACGAAACACGGCCCCCATTGTTCTGAACCAACAAGACCCGCAATGTGGTCTGCTAGGGAGTTCCATGGGTGCCCCTCGTGTCCCTTGACGTGGCAAATCCTCAACGGGGGAGGGTCGTGTGTAGGCCATCTCTCCTTGGCGCGAGTCAAGGCTATGTCAAACATGATCACGAGCACGCATGCAATTTTGTTATTTTCCGAGACCGTAGCTGCACCGTAGACATAGTCGCACACGTTCTGCGAGTCCGTGTGAATGACCGCTGGGGGGTGGTGCTGGTCGCTGATGATCGCCATCAAAACCCAGACGACGGCTGCGCACTCGACATCCGTGCTGTCCAGCCCGCCCCGTCCGCGCGGGGTCAGAAAGGAACTCAAGAAGGGGGCCGCCCACACACCCTGGAACGAGCACCCCACGTGATCTGTACCGATTCGGACCGCGGCCCAGGCCCCAGAAGCGTCATCCCCATGTCGCAACGAACCATCGGTAAAGTACGAGACCTCGTCCCAGACGGAGTCCCTCGGAGGACAGAGCCCTAGAGCCCAAGAAGATTCCACTGGTAAATCCTGAGGAAGCCCGAATACCCAAGACATAGCCGCCACAGAGGTGACAAGTTCCTGGATGGTCGGTCCTCGCTCGAAGTGACACCTTAAGTGCGTAGGAGGAGAAGGAAGCAAGGTTGTGGGCTCACTGCTGCCCGCATGCTCCTCGGAACTTCCTGATTGATCAGGACTAGCTTCAAAAGAGTGGGGAGGGGACATATGACCCATGTCCCCTTCCCCATTGACCGACAAGGATGCTCGTGGCGATGACCCCTGCACTTCCTCGCTGTAACAAGGGCGCTGGTCCTCAATCTCCACTGTAGACAAAAGTGGTCCGAGCTCGTGGGCATCGGACAGTAAATCCCTATCAGGATCGACTAGGCTGGCCTGGTCACGTGCCGTCTCCCCCCGACCGTGATCCTCCCCACTCCTTCCCATGTGGCCATCAGATCTACGTCTATGGATCCCCACTGACGGATCTGTGCTGACTTCGCGCTGCGTTGTATTAGGGGCCTGTGAAACTAGAGCCTGCGATCCACAATCGGCCTTCAAACATGATTTTAATTCCCTGGGGTAAGGAGAAGAGGGGACAAACGGAAACCTTGAACTCTGAGAGGATGAGGTCAACTTTTCTCCAGGGTGAAAGGCTCTAATCATGCACTCCCCGAAAGTTACTCTTCGCTCTGCCGTGGATCTTTCCTCGGCGGCGATTCCCCTGTGTGCGCTGTAGGGCTCCTCTTGCCCCCTGGGGGGGTCATAAAAACCGAAGGGCCCACGGGCGGCGCCAGGAGCGGGCCCTCTATCCCCTGGGTCGGATGCATGGGCTGGGTAGGGGATAAAAAAGGGGAGTGCATATCCTGAGGGCCTGGCATCATCTCAGCATCAGCTTTGGCCCCTTGTGTCCCGTATGGATCCTCCGCGACCTCCGTGGGCTCGATGCCTGGGTCCGCCACGGGCGTGGGCATGTCGGGCTGGGCCGCGGGGATGCTCGTCGGGCTGGCCTGCACCTCGATGGGCGGCTGCTGATGGCCGTGCGCCCCCTCCTCCGACTTGGCCCTCTCGTACTCCTCCGCCGACGCACTCGCACTGGTCGCCGTGAGGTGGCCAATCAACATGGCCATCTGATGGTCCGTCTGCTGCTGCTTCTTAATGAGTACCTTGATCATCTCACCGATCGCCTGCACCTCAGCACTCGGGGGCGGTGGCTGCTGTACTGGTGGCTGCTGAACTGGCGGCCCAACTCTCTGCTGAGGCGGCGGTGGCATGGATGGCGGAAATCCCATGTTGCACTGCTGCATGGGCACGGGACCTCCTGAACACTGCTGCTGTGGGGCTGGTGGCGGCGGTGGGAATGTCGTCCTCTCCGTACGCGGATCCGCCCCCATCTGCATCGTCGGGATGAATGTGCTGAAGCCACGGGCTCCTGGCGCATCTTCTCCGACCATGTAGTCCTCCAGCTCCTCTAACTCGTCTATCGCGGCCTGCCAAGCATACAGGTCCGTCTCTGACTGCTTGTAGTCGGACTGTAACTCTCCGAGCTTCACCGAGAGGTTGCGAATGTGCTCTTGACACCTATCTCGCTTCGACTTCAACTCGGCTAGCTGGTCATTAAGCTTCTCGCACGTGCTCATCATGTACTTGAGACACGATATCTCACGTACGAAACCCTGTGGATCATCTTTGCCGGCCTTGCGACTGATGATGATGAGCCTTCCCAACTCGAACATGCGCTGCTTCGTCCTCGTCTTGTACGACTTGATTCCTGGCACGTCCGTGGGGACCTGCTCGTACCCCAAGAAACGCATTGCCTCAGTCGCTTCCGATCTTTTCATCGTCACTACCCTGCCGATGAGCTGCTTCACTTCTTGCTCTTCCCGCTTCAACTCCTTCTGCTGGTGCTCCTGACGGATGGTCTGCCGCGTCCGACTGGACGCGCGGGGCCGTTCCTGATCAGGGCCTCGAGGGACAACTCGCTGACTCCAATGACGACCACATAGACACTTCCAATGGTGGCCCTTGACAAACCTGCCACACGCGCAGTCCCATGTCTGCTGGGGGCCTCCTTGGCGATTCATCGCAAAGATTGGGGAACTGTGGTGGTTCCTAAGGAGGGATCGAGCTTTGGAAAGGGCAAGAATCAGGCGGGCGCTGGTGCGCTTCAAGCGCTGGCGCCTATGCCAAGGAGCTTCCTTGGCCGTAGTGAAGAATTTGTCGGTCGCGGCCTCTCTGAAGGCACGCCTAGGGTCGGGCTCCCTGCCTGGGCCAGACGCCTCCTCCTCCTCCTCCTCCTCCTCCTCCTCCTCCTCCTCCTCCTCCTCCTCCTCCTCCTCCTCCTCCTCCTCCTCCTCCTCCTCCTCCTCCTCCTCCTCCTCCTCCTGCTCCTCCTCCTCCTCCTCCTTCCCCAGGACCGGCTTTTCATCCCGGATAGTCTTGCTGACGGTTCCGAGGCCCGCGCAGGGCCCCGAGAGGCCGACAACTGTGAAGACACGCCGTCCAGATCTCTTCGAGACGCCGGCTTCGTCCTGGCGTTGTCGCCCCGAGGGCAGCGCCAGGAGTCCACCTCTCCAGACCGAAGAACCGCCCGCAGGGGGCCGCATCGGCGACCCCTGCGGCCCGAGTCCCAGCGCGGGTTGTGGGGGGCGCCTCCCCCAGGCTCGTGGTCTCGCTCCCGGGCGCTGGGCGGCAGGAACCGCTCCAGCTCCTCCACCTGCAGCCGCGCCTCCTCCGCGCTCCTCTGGGGGCGCCCTCGCGCGATGGGGGAACGTTCGGGGGACGGGCACACGGGGAGGACATCGTCGAGTTGGAATCTGCGATGCCTCTAGGGCATCAAACAGTGAAAGAAACATCAAACCTCGGAGGTCCGCGCGGATTTCCCAGATCGGCGCTTGACCCCACCCCCTGGGCGCGCGGAGCGCGCCAGGGGCGGCGCCGGAGGCGCCGCCACGGGGGGGGGGTCCAGCGCGGATCCGAGGAATCCGCGCGGACCTCCGAGCTTGTGTTCGTGAAATGGTTCCCTCCCATGGCATCGCCGGTAGATCGGCGACAGGCCCACGATGGCGCGCAGACGCACGTGGCTGGTCGTGGCGGGCTGTCGGACACCTATCGGCGATGAGTGGACGATCGGCCACCATCGGCTGCACGCAGGGAGGGAACCTCTGGGCAAGAGTTAAGGGAGCAAAGGGACACACAAATAAATAATACAAATGACCGTTTTCCCTATATTTCAATATATGTTCTGGGTTTTCGTCTTCCCCCCACTTCCCATTTTTTTTGCTGGGAGTCGACGATTCATCGTGTCTGTGTGCTCCTTTTCCCTCCTGAAGAGTGGCGTCCCGCGCGCGGCGTTCGGAAAGCGCACGAGGCCCAGACCGGATGGCGCATGCCGCTGCTGTCGCGTCGCGTCTGGCCATCCATGTGGACCCCAGGCGTGCCCGCGCCACAAGTTTTAGAAGTCGGGGCTGGACAGAACCCATTTAGTAAAACGCGGTTTCGTGAAAACGACCTCGGTCCCAAACCCGGCGGGCGCAAGCCCGAATAATGACGGCCGCGGCGCCCTCTCGAGAACCGAAGACGGAAAATTCACAAATCGACGTGTCAGGGTGTGAATTCGGTCCACCCCCGAAAAAGTAACTCCAGCGAACGGTCACTCTTACGTGCAGCCGCCACCGGCAGCCGCGCCTCCTCCGCGATCCTCCAGGGGCGCTCTCCCGGCAGGCTCGCGGGCTGAGCATCGTTGAAGCGATCCGGACCCCACCTGTCGTTGCCTGGGCCGCGCTGGATGATTCACCCCACATATGGGGATGTGGGCTGTTCCCTTTGAGTTTCGCGAGACCTATCCCCAACTGGGATTTGGCGGCGCGCAGAAGGGGGGGGTGGATGGGGGGGGGGTTCTTCGAAGGAGGCTGCCTCTTAGAACGCCCAGGCCGCCCTTCAAAGGAGCCAGGGGCGCGCCGCTTCTTGAAGCACCCGTAGAAGCAAAACAACCTTTTCGATACAACGATACCATTTTGTAGAAGCAAGTCGGCCGGTCTTGTCAACGCGCCAACAGTTATAAAAAGCAGCCGCCCGCGTCTTTTAAGAAGGGGGGTGCTTCTAAGAAGCCGTCCCCCTCCCGCCACTCCCCTTTCTTTGCGCGTTTGGGGGATGGTGGGACGGTGGGGCTGAAATACAATCACCCCGTAGAAAAAAATATGCGCGGCAAAGATTCAAGGGGCTTGGAGGGCCACGCTGACGTTTACGAACGAGGTTGGCCAACGTAAGTCGCTAAGGATGGGCCGAACGGGCAAAGATGCAAGGGTAACCTTGGAAAGTCGCCAATCCTTCTCAGAAGACGGCGGGGCTTCTCAGAAGACCTCCAACCTTTTGAAAAAATGTTTTTTGCGTTTCCGGGGAAGGCCGAAAAAACTTCTCAGAAGGCCGGGGGACTTCCGAGCCTTCTGAGGAGCCTGCCCCTTCTCACTTCCCCCCCCGAACCCGCCGCCGAATGAAGGGCCCGTCTCCTTGGAGAGGTCCAGGCCTCTGGGGACCCACGCCAGCGAGCAGCACACCACGACGCCAAGCGTCGCGAGGCCGAGGCCGAGGCGGGTCCGAAGACGCGCGAATCCGGGGGCACAGCCGATGCGGGGGGGCACGGGGAGCGGGAAGGCAGGCGGCCCTGCGACGCGGGGGGCAGGGGCGCGTTCTGCCATCAGCGAGGGCGGGAGCCCACGCGTGCGAACAGCCGGCGGGTCGCGCCCAAACCATGGGCGCGCAACTGCGCCTCGGGGAAGATAAGACGAAACCGAGGCCAACGTCGGGTGAGTATAGATCGACAGTCTCTGAGATCCGGCGGCTCCGGAGGATGTCTCGGGCGCCGCGGCCCTCTTAGAGCATTCCTGGAGGCTCTGAGAGCGCTCCAGAATGCTCTGGAACGGAGTATCCCTCGTCCTGGCCCGATCAGAGCCCAGACGCGCGACGTCCAGATGTTTTGAAGACGTCGTCCCTGGAAGTCCCGACCCTTTCCCCGGGGCTTGTTTTTCGTCCTGTATCGTTTTTTTCTGACGGTCCCGAGGCCCGGCGAGGGCCCACCCGAGGCCGAAAATAGCCAAGAATCTCCCGTCCTGATTTTCTGCTGCGACGCGGTACCATGTCTGGGAGCAGCGGAGGGCGGCAGCGGAGGAGGAACGCGGGAGGCCTCCGGCGCAGGGTCTTCGCCGCGAGGAGGGGCGCAGGCAGCCTCGGGCACCAGAGGCCGGGGCGCCTGCGGCCTATCCGAGCCTATCCGGCCAGGGACTTTGGGACGATAGCGCGTCGGGGCGGCGGCTCGGCGACGCGCCGTGCCTTGCGAGCGGGCAGCACGTCACTCCTTTCCGCTCACTGCGCCGACCTCGCAGACGTGCCGCAGCGGACGTTTGCACCAGCGCGAGACCCCGAAGCGGCGAGTGGAAAACGAAACGGCTCCCGCGAAGATGCCTCAAAGCTCACGCCTGGCCAACAAGAGTCCGCGCGACAGAGGAATCCGGAACGACAATCTCCAGGACACTATGTCGGGAGCGGCCAAGAGGGGGGTGTCCAAGAGGGGGGGGTGCAAATCATGACCGGCGGCACGTGCGCGGCCCAGCGGGGGGGCCAGGGACGTAATGAAATAAGAACGAGGCGCCATGAAATCTGGGGAAATATCATGGCCCGCGCCATGATATCCCCCCCCCCTAGTCATCACCCCCCTCTTTTCCGCCGCCGATCCGAACGAAGCCCGCTCTGCGATGTTGGCGCCAGGACGCGCCGCGGGCCGGGAGGCTCCACACAGTTCGTCGGGCGCGGGCGCCCGCGGGCCGAGCCGTGGGCAGCGCGCCGCGCCCGGAGCGCGGTCGCCGCCCGGGCCGCCGGCGCGGCACGCTGGGCCGAATGACGCCCCTGGCCACGTGCTGCCACGCACGGCAGAGGCAGTTATATATATATATATATATATATATATATATATGAGAAATATATACACATATGTATATATATGTGTATATATATACATATATATATATATATATAACTCAACAAGTTCACCCCTGCATCCTGGGACACCTCCACGGGCGCCACGAAGACGACCGCGCTGAGCCAGAGCACCGCCGCGAGCGCCAAGAACGACCGCGGCAGGCCCAGACATCCGGCGCCTCGATCCCTGGGGCCCCGCTTCCCCCAAGGAAGGGGCTTGTCACCCCCCCGAGTGTTTTGGCTCACGGCCCCGGCCCCCTGGCAAGCGCCCCGAGGGGCCGAGAACGAGGAGCAACACCGCCGTCTCGATGTTTTGTGCTCGAGGCGCTCGATGTCTGGGCAGGCTCCCAGAGGAGAAGCGGGCCGCAGCCGCGGCGGCGGGGCGGGGCAGGGCAGGTATAGTGCGGGGGGGCCCGGCCCGCGGGAGTCTGTCCTGCTCTTGCTTTCCTTGAGCTTCTCAAGCTGCTCCACCTGGCGCGGCAGGGGGGAGCGCGGGGCCACGTCGTTGTCGCCATCCAGCTGCACCTCCTCCTCCTCCTCCTCCTCCTCCTCCTCCTCCTCCTACTCCTCGAGGGACCTCCTGCTCCTCTTTCTCCTCCTCCTCCTCCTCCTCCTCCTCCTCCTCCTTCTCATCATCCTCATCATCATCATCATCATCATCATCATCATCATCATCCCACATCATCATCATCTCATCCATCATGTCAAATCCAATCATCATCATCATCATCATCATCATCATCATCATCATCATCATCATCATCATCATCATCATCATCATCATCATCATCATCATCATCATCATCGGGCACAGTGGAAGCCCAAGGCAAGAAACACCCCGCTTGCCTCCAGGGGGGCCTTGGGTTTCTTGGGCTTCGATGGCTTTGCGATGGAATACAGCGTGGCGCTCAGACGCCCCAAATCAATGAACGTCCTGGCTTTTTCGGGCTGGGTTTCTTGTGAAAGGTTTCTTGTGGTCGAGCTCCTATCTGTACCTCCAGCTCCCAGGAGTGCTCTCACCGCGCCCATCTTCAGAGCCCCAGCTCTCAGCGCACGGGCCTCCCGCTCGAGCATCATACCAGCCCCACGAGAGCACCCCCTCTGAAGAGGGCCTCAGAACTACCTCCAACGCTCAGTGGGCCCCGCAGACGGCAAGGCCGTTTTTTTTCACCGTTTTCGAACAAATGCCGCTTGAAAACGGAAGCGCGGCAAAACAAAGCGACCGGAAACGGCAATCAAAACGGCTCCAGGATTGGAACGGGAGCCGGAAAAAAGACGGTGCTGGAGCCGCCACAAAAACGGAGACGGAACCGGCAAAAAAAGTGCCCCGCTGGGCTCCAACGCCCTGGCTTGTCCTCGGAGATCCCCGATGGAGTTAATCAGTTCGCTGCGCCCGCGTGCCCCGACAGACTCGGCCAGAGCCGAATGTGCAAGCTGAGGCCGAGCTCGGGCAAGGACGACTGTCGGGAGGCTTTGAGAGCCGACCCACTGCTTGGATTCTGGCGGTGCGGATGACGACGAGCTCGGACGATAGGACGACGACCGGGAGTCCGGGGCGGGAGTCCTGGAGCGCCGGCAAGGTCAGCATGGAGGATGTCTACCCAGACAACCGATGTCCGAATCTTTTCAGAATGCGGGGCTCCTCGAAGTCCCGACACTTTCTCCTGAGCCTGCGTTTCACCCCCAATCGTTTTGTGGACGATCCTGGGCTCAGCTGCCCTGATACGCAGCACGCACCGCGTAGCGTATTGATACGGAGCTCCACACGTAGACTGAAAACGCAGGTCTGACGCGATGCGTTCGCCAAAAGGTGGGCCAATACGTTGAGCCAACACGCAACGTATCGACACGGACGTTTTGAACACGGTGCGTGTTGCGTATCAAAGCGGGCGCATCAAGGCAGCTGAGGTCCTGGGGCCCCGCGCGGGCCCATGGCGGCCGAAAACGGCCCAAGGCTCGGCACGCAGCAGCAACAGGCACGTGCCCTGCTCGAATGGACAACGCACGTGCTTCTCCGCTGCCTGGGGCTCCCTGGGCTGTCCGGGGAAGAAGGTTGCCGCCTCCCACCTCAGCCAAGGAGCGAAGGCCCAAACCACCTCCGGGTTCCGTTTTTCCCGCTGCCTTCCCCATGGCGGGTTTTTCATGCCGAGCCGTTTTGTTCACGGTCTTGGGGCCTGACGAGGGCTCCTGGAGGCCGAAAACGTGCAAAAAACCGTCGGTCGTGATTCTTGCACGGCGCGAGCATGCCTAAGAAAGGAGGAGGACGAGGAGAAGGAGAGGAGGAGGAGGACGAGGAGGAGGAGGACGAAGAGGAGGAGGAGGAGGAGGAGGAGGAGGAGGAGGAGGAGGAGGAGGAGGAGAGGAGGAGGTGGGAGGAGCTGGAGGATGGAGGAGGAGGAGGAGGAGGAGAGGAGGAGGTGGGAAGCGATCACCTTCCTCCACCTCTTCTTTTTCTTGCCTCTCACCGACACTTATTTTTCTCGTGATCACGGGGCCGCCGACTGCGACACTAAGCAAAATTCAAGGAAATGTAGACTTCTATTTTTTCGAGAACAGACTATTGGGCAATTTAATCGAGCTGGACGTCCCAACCTGAGCTGGGTTTCGTGGGGGGATTTGGACCTTAGTGAAATGTCTTGCCAAGAACAAGGACCAAACGTATGCAAATCGTCTTGGATTGAATGGATATGAAGATCGCGAACAGCAGATCGGTACGCCAATAGCCTCTCTAGTCCCCAGTCCTCTCATCCTCCTCCTCTCTCCTCCTCCTCCTCCCCCTCCTCTCCTCCTCCTCTTCTCTATTATTCCTAATATTCTTATTCATATTAGCATTATTCTTATTGTTATTATTTGTAGTATTATGCTTACTCGCTTCTCGCATTTTAAAACTCCTCCTCCTCCTCCTCCTCCTCCTCTCCTCTCCTCCTCACAGCCTCAGTGCGTCGCGCCCCCATCTCCTCCTCGGGGCCTCCTCCTCCTCTTCCTCCAGTGAGCCTCCTGACTCCTCCTCCTCGCCCTGGAGTCACCGACCTCAGATGCATGTCCTCTGAGAAAAAGAAGAGGCCTACTCTCCGTCCTCCTCCTCCTCCTCCTTCTCCTCCTCCTCCTCCTCCCCCTCCTCCTCTCCTCATCTCTCTCCTCCTCCTCCTCCTCCTCCTCCTCCTCTACTGCCTCCTCCTCCTCCTCCTCCTCCTCCTCCTCCTCCTCCTCCTCCTCCTCCTCCTCCTCCTCCTCCTCCTCCTCCTCCTCCTCCTCCTCCTCCTCCTCCTCCTCCTCCTCCTCCTCCTCCTCCTCCCCCTCCCAGCGGGCAGGGCTGGCGGCCGGGGCCCACGCGCGCTCGAGCGTGCCGTCCAGCCTGGCCCTCAGGTACGTGCAGGGGCGGCCTCTCGGCCGGGCGCCACGGGGGCTCGTGCCGACTCGCGGGAGGAACACGGCGCAAGGATTTTGCGGGAAGGGAGGAGGAGGAGGAGGAGGAGGAGAAGGATGGTGATGGTGATGGTGATGGTGATGGTGATGGTGATGATGATGATGATGATGATGATGATGATGATGATGATGATGATGATGATGATGATGATGATGGTGATGAGTAGGAGGAGATGATGATGATGATGATGATGATGATGATGATGATGATGATGATGATGATGATGATGATGATGAGGAGAAGGATGATGATGATGATGATGATGATGATGATGATGATGATGATGATGATGATGATGATGATGATGATGATGATGATGATGATGATGATGATGATGATGATGATGATGATGATGATGATGGGGAGGAGGAGGAGGAGGAGGAGGAGGAGGACGAGGAGGAGGAGGGGGAGGACGAGGAGGACGAGGAGGAGTGTAGGAAGAGGAAAAGGAAGAGGAGGAGGAGGACGACGACGAGGAGGGTCGGCCCACCGAGGGGGCGCGGTCGTGGCTTTTGGACACGCCGTGGCCCCTACGACCGAGTCTTTTACAGGGCTTTAAACCGCTTGGCTTTGCAGGGTTGGAAAGGATTTAGGATGTCTGGGATCCCCAAAGGGCCCAAACTTGGCAAAATAATTCGGGGGCTGGCAATTTTGAAGTCTGCGCAGCGCCGCGTTGCCACTGTGGGTGCCCACGCCACGTGGACAGAGGACGGGGAGTTGGTAGAGTTAACCACCTCCTGTCGCAGTGCAACTCCCCAGTCGAGCACACCTGGAGCACCGCAACTGTCCATTCATCGCATGCAGCGAATGAGACCAGTGCACCACCTTACCCTCGATCTTGAAGGAGAAACAGGCAACAAGTGGGATGGGAAGGGGCACGATATAATCAGAAACAAACAGCCTTCGTCTACACGGATTATCCTGCATCCACCTTTCGATCGGAACTCGAGCGGGCCCTAGTTCATAATGAAAGCAGAGCCCGCGTTTCTTGTCCCCCGGGCGCTGCAACATGCAACGGCCCGTCACACGCTCGAGCCCCTGCCGAAGCGTCGTTATCTTCGCTGGCCTCCTGGAAGGGACACGGCGCTGGTGCTTGACCTTAGGCATCGAATTGACTTCAACCGCAATAACCGCTAGACGCTTATGGACCCGCTGTAGGAGGGCCCCATCAAATCAGAGAGAGAGAGAGAGAGACAGACAGAGAGACAGGAAGTATACTTGTGGCTGGCAGAGGCTTTCGCAAGGCCTCTCTGGGCCAGGGCATCGGCTCTTTCATTTCCGAGGGAAACACGCCAAGGCTGGGAGGCTACACGAAGGCTCACTGCATCTAGGTGGGAGTTGCACTTCTTCGCGCTGAAGTTGGCGATCCTATCGGGCCTCTGGAGGAGTGCCTGCTTGATCCGCTGCCACCATTGCTGATGGGACCTCGAGGATAGAGCCAGTGCCCGGATACCCACCTACGATATACCAGGGCATTGCCCGTCCAGATCTCCAGGGGCCCTCGGGTGTAGAGGATGCAATCGTACAGCGCAGCAAGCTCTGAACACGGGACTGTCTGGGCGCCGTCGATCGAGCCGGATAATCATGGAAACCTGCCATCAGCGGGCGCATCGCCAAAGTCGAGAGCAACGCCCCGACCTCCGCGAGCGACCCGATGGTCCGCCGAGTAGACCGATCCGTCGAGGAAGGCCCTGCACGCATGGATGGGGTTACCGCGCATGCTGGAGTAGGCCTCGAACTCTGGGACCTGGGTCCGCATATCCACATCATGGACGACCTGGTTAACATTCCATTCGGGAGCCTCGGGGGTCTCGTCGATCCTAGCTGGGGGAAGACCACGGCACCAAAACATCATCATGCCGGGCTCGGTGGTCATAAATTGCACAGCTCGTTTCTTCAAGGTCTTGGGTGCCGCGGATCCAGTCATTGTCGCTGTCTTTGTTTTCCATGCGCCCATAGCGTCGGCGCTGCAAGTCTTCAGCAGCTAGCCCGCAACGCGAACATAAGTTGAACATTCGTTGCCCGCCACCGAGATGCGTCGAGCAGTCCAGCAACTCCCAGCGATGATGTACTCGGACGCGCCTGCCTCCTTGAACAGCTTCTCGCGGCACATCCAGCGCAACATGCGCCGCGCCGCCTGTGGGCGGCCTCCATCGTCGCAGCCGAACCCCTCAGAATGCGAACCTGCCTGCTTCCATCGGCCAGCCCGGATGGGCCCGTGGGCCGCGTCAAAGGGGCTCTGGGGGTCGATGTCGTCGGGGTTGCAGATCCATTCGTCGCCCTCTGGGTCGGTCCACCGATCTGGAGCGCCGAACTTCCATGCGAACCCCCCCACTGCAACCGCGAGCGCTCCTACGTGGCCTGTGACCGACCTCCACTTTGAACAGGCCTGCATGTTTACCATCTTGCCAACGACGGCCTGCCACCCAAGTCGGACTCGCGCAGAAGGTGCATCACGCTTTGATCTGGCGGCGTATGTTGTAGGAGGCTGGGCCCTGCTTGCCGTGGACGTGCAGCATGACGGTGGATGTACAGCGCCAACCGACTGTGAAACCTGCCACGGTTGCTGCCGTGGCTCTCCTCTCTCCAGCCTGACTCTTGACGCAGGAAGGCCCATGGCTGAGGCGTCGTAGATGCGCTTGGCCCTGAGATTCGCAACGCAGAGGTGCGCCGTCACCTTCCGCCCAGCCACGTCTCAGAAATACGCGTGTGCGCATGACTCTGTTGGCGGTGGCCATGGCGCGCTTGACTGCCGCAGATGCGCGACGGTTCCTACCCGCCGTGGAGTCGAAGCCGAGGTCTCTGGCGGTCCTGGCGGCCTCGTTGGTTACACCGTGCTCGGCAATCGATTTGATGACCGCTCGTGGCACTGAAATGTGGCCGAGGATGACTGCCTTCTCAGACACTTCGAGACCTAGGTATTGGATGGCTTTGACTAGGGCAGCGGAGCCCTTCTTTCATCTGGTGTCTGACCAGTGATCGATGTCCTTCAGATCGCACCATGCGGTCGCCCACGAACTCTCTCATCATGAGGCCTTGGTATCGGAGGTGGACATGCTCTATCAGGTCGTAGAGGTATGCCCCTCGCCATATTGTTTGCCTCAGTGCAACCTGGGAGGAGATCACTGTGTGGTACAATCAGGTTCGAGCTGTATACATCACGAACTCTGATGATACGTGGGCCGAGGTAAAGCAAGCACGACATGTATAGCACGACTGGGGAGTAGTCGAGCTTGGTCGCCAGAGCACAGAAGAGCGACATGTTGACGTGGTCGTAAAGTTCATGCTGTCCAGCAGCACAGTCGCGACGTCGGTATCTCCTCTCTCAACGTCGGCGTGGTGGGCGCTACCTGCAATAGAGATGAACATTTGATGAATGTGCCCGAAGAGCCTGTATTGGCCTCGCACCACTTCCCAAGCTTGTTTGTCCACTCGTCCCCATAATCGTACTGGCATAGGTAGTGGACCGATCGGCCTCTCGTTGCCAGTGGTGACCGCATCGCCCTTGGCCAGCAAGCGTCCCCAAATCTGAAGAGGCAGGCATGGCCAGGAGAGCTTAGCGACACAGGCATTGATTCTCTGAGTGAGCTCCTCCTTCGCCATCGTGCTGGCGGCCCGCGGGGAAGTTCGTGGCCGTGGATATGTAGACTGCGCTGTTTGGCGAGGGGTTGTCTCAGGGGCAGCCTCAATATCGTCGGTTGTGTACTCGCCCCATTCGGCGTCAAGCTGGCCCTAGGCCTTGCGCCTCGGCTCCTTCGTGCTTTCCGGAGTGCACTTCGCATCATCGCCAGCGCGAGCTGGTTCGAAGTCATTCGGACGACCTGCCGAGTGGGTGGTCAAGCGCGCGCGCCACTTCTGCGTTCTGGCGCCCACGCAGCCCTCGAGGTCGCCAATGACCCCGGCGCCGTGGATGGCTGCGCCGAAGAGGTCTCGCCTCTCGACCTTGGCAGGGTGGCGGGGGGCATTCTTCGCTCTTCCCTGTAGCGCCGATCGCAGCCCGCGTCGCCTTGGAACGGCCATCTGCAATGGTGCGAGCTCTTCCCAGTCCTGCCTTCGTCGCATCCACCGTCGGGAAGTCCTGGTCGAAGCGCGCGTGGCGCAGCAGCTGGCCGAGCTCGCCCAATAGCTCGATCTCCCCTTCGGGGCTGCCCTGGAGCGCCTTAGCTTGTAGACGCTGAACCGTGTCGATCAAATTCTCGATGATCTGCCAGTGCCCTGGCCCCGGCTCCCGTTGTTCAGCCGGTTCGAATTTGCGTCCTCTGCGGCCTGCCCCCTCGCCGCGCAGGGGGGGCTCAAGGCGCCCGCCCAGGCCGGCCTTCGCGGGGGCCTACGTCGGGCCTTCAGAGGCCTCGTCAAGGTCTTCCAACACCGGTGGCTCCAGCGGGTTCTGGCCGGGAGCCTGGGGGCCGTCCAGGGGGGCGTTCTGACTGGGGTCGGGGGCGCGGCGACTCGGCGCGGCGCGAAGCCTGGATCCGATGGTGGACTGCACGTGCCCACCATCAGCACGAGGCCCATCGGTGCGGCAATTGCCTGGTCCAGGGTGCTCTCCTTCTTCAAGTGCGAGGTGCTTGCATTCGCCCCACTGCTCGTCTCGCTTCATATCGAGCGCAGGGGTCGATGTCCTCGTCGTCCAGGTAAGACTTCAAGATGGGCTTCTTGCTGTCGGGCACTCTTGGCCTCTGGCGAACTCGCTGCCGAGCGGGATGCCGGCCCGCGGGTAACATTGGCACGCTGGGGCCCTGGAAACGAGCCCAGCCACGGGGTCTTTCATCGCGGACTCTTCGCTCTCGTTGTCGGTGCCGTTGGTGACCTTGGCGTTCGGCACGTTGGAACCGCTGGCCTCGTCGGCGCGCGCGAGGCTCTCGCGCGCGTCGCAGAAAGATCTGGAGCTGGCTGGCGACGCTGATCCACGCATTGAGTCCCAGCCTGGATGTAGAGCGGGTCGGGCTGACGCATCGCGTGCTCGCCCCGATTGCCAAAGGACTGCCCTCGCCGCCTTCGGTCGCTGATCAGCTGGTCGCCGGCCGCGCTGAGAAGCGACGACTCTGCCGCCGTCGCTCTTCGCCCGCGCTTTTCGGCCAGCTCGTTGGAAGCCGCTGGGTCGAAAGCGCGCGCGACGCATTGCTGCGTCTCGGGACTGGCATCTAGAACGGGGATGCGCTGCGAGCTCCGTGTGGCGCGCCCAATCCTCGTCATCCACGCTGCAGGTCATCTTCTTGATGTAGTGTGGCACCAACAACTGGCCGCGCATATCCGCTTCTCTTTCCATGACTTCAGCGTCATCAACGCGACGAATCTGGGCATGGCGCCGACGGCATTGCTGCTGGCGCTTGAGACCTTTAGCGATATGGGCGCCGTGGCCGGGGATCTCGACGGTTGCCGGCAATGGCGGGCGCGCGCAAGACCGCTGCTGGACGCGAATGCAATCAGATTTCCAGTCCAATATGCGGCTCCCAAGGCGCGGCGTAGACTGGTTCGACGGCCTTGACCAGCGGCCAGAAAGTGGGCGAGCATAGACTCCAGTCTATCATTTGTTCTGGCTGCCTGCACGAGTGAGCTCGCAATTCGGGCGGGGGTGCTGGGCGCGAATGCCTCGTGCCCCCTAAGTGGCATTGAGCTGCGCTGGCGTGCTGTTGTCGTCGCCGCAAGCCGTCCACGGCGTGCCGAGCGCGCGCGCCAGGGCCAGCAGCTGCGACTGCTTGGAGATGTTGACTGGGCGGTCCAATCCTTTGGGGTCGGAGGCGAGGTGCGCCGCGACGAAGGCCACCGTCACGTGCTTCATACAAGCCACGGTGACCACAATCTCTTGATGCTGCTGGCCCAGGACGTGCTCGCCACCAATGGGGGCGAGGTGCGGGTGGAATTGAACTGCCAAACACGCGCCCAGAAAGCCCCCCCCCCCGAGCTACCTCTCCCCGACGTAGGAGTGGCCGGTGACACAGTATACTCCGCGCGCCACCCCATGCCGCAGAGATGTCGCCGTTCGTCCTCGAGCTGTTTGCCGCAATTGGGTTTCCACAGAGCCCAAGAAATCACGCGGCGCACCCTTGCGCAACTCGCGGACGGCATAGGAGAAGTTGCTGACGTTCGCCTCGAATGCTCTTAGATCATGATGAGAGCCGCTGCATCTTAAACCGACGGCTTGGTCGTCGACCCGTCGCCCTTGTCGCCCTCGCTGCACTCCTTGGCGGCGGTCTGCGCCGAGCGGGCGCGCTACTGCTCGGCGACGAAACGCGCGATCTCGGCGGGGTCCCTGACATTGCGCGCGCTACTCTCCTGTCGGGTCTGCATGGTGGCCTCCGTCGTCTCGGCGGCCGCAGCCTCGGCATCTGCCGCTGCCGTTGGTGCTCCGCGCTTGTCTCCCTCGAACTGGCGGCGCTTCTCGGTGGCGACCTGCTCTTCGAAATTCTCGGCTGGCTGCGCTGCTTCTCGGGCTTGCTCCCCTGCGCGGCGGCGGGTCTCAATCGCTGCCTTTGCCTACTCATGTGCGCTCTTTGCTGCCTCGCAGGCCTGCTTTCGGCGGCGTCGAGGTGGGCCAGGTCGCTTTCTTCCAGAATTCAGAGATCACCCCCCTGGGCCTTCGCCCGGGGCGCAGCTGGTGCCTCGGCCTGGCCAGCGCGAAGAATAACCGAGTAGCGCTCCACAT